CGACCACTGAGTTAGGACAAGACAAAAATCAATTTAAAATGCCTAGAATGTTAAGCCAAGAAATAGCATTCTGAGTGTACATTGAGAAATGTGAAATGCCAGAAGAAAGAACCACATAAACTAATCGCCAAAGGGAGTTCTGCTCAGTCCGTCCATTGGAAACACCTAGAAAAGCTGCAGAAACGATTCTTTAAACCGGTCTAAAGGCATTGGGGGAAAATAAATAAAAGCTTTGGAGAGCTACAAAGCAGGAAAGAGGGCTGAGATCCAAGAGAAGAAGAAAATCAAGAGCGATGACCACATTTACAGCGAGCCCTTCTACAGAGGCCATCCAGGAATCAAACAGGCAAACCACAGCCCATGAGAATAACTCGTGTATCCGAAAAGGACTCATCACCAGAGCATGAAAGGACTACACGTCGATAAGAAAAAGACAACATAAAAGGAAAAAAAGGACCAGGGTCTTAAGAATTTCCCATAAAGGAACGTTATTGGTGAGAATGTAAATTGGGGTCACTTGCAAAAAAAACGATCTCTCATTATCTGCTAAAGTTGAGGCCACACGTGCCCTTTGACACTGCACTTCAGCCCATAGGTATACACACATCAGAAACCCATGTACATGTGGTAGATCAATTCATGAAGAGCTTTTGGGACACCCTCCCCTCCCCCCATATACCTTATCTTCATTAGGAGCGGCCTCTGGTCTAAATGTGCTTGTTTCTCAGCCGCAGCAGCCGTGCTTGGGGGTGTGGGGACCTAGAAAGATCAGAGAGAGCTGGGGTGGGGAGTATAAGCTTTCGTTAAGAATCAATGGTACGATTTAATGTTTAACTCCCTGCATGCATTTCATTCATACTTTAATCACGACAAAAAAAAATCAATCATGGCAAAAATAATCCATGCATGCATACATAAAAGGGAGCTAACTTCTGCCCTTGGCAGAAGTAGGATTCACCCCAATTTGAAAATTAAACCACCGACAAAGAAAAAACGACATTATTTCCACAGGTGGACGATATACCGTATATAACGTTTGGCTCGATTTTCTTTTCCTTAAGATGAAAGGGACTTTGCATCTGTTTGACCTAGCAGTTAAATATTTTATTCCTCGCCAAAACCGGTTTGGCTCAGTGGATAGAGCGTCAGCCTGCGGACTGAAAGGTCCCAGGTTCAATTCCGGTCAAGGGCATGTACCTTGGTTGCGGGCACATCCCCAGTAGGAGATGTGCAAGAGGCGGCTGGTCGATGTTTCTCTCTCATCGATGTTTCTAACTCTCTATCTCTCTCCCTTCCTCTCCGTAAAAAATCAATGAAATATATAAAAAAATATATTTTATTCCTCCGCGGCCACAGACCTTCCATGTAGGCCGGCCTTTTAAGAAACCAAACGTTTTTCTTTTACAGACAATCCCCTGGAAGGGACGGGCTCGGGGTCCTCCGGGGCGCCCAGCCCCAGCGAGTGGGACAAGGCGGCTCTATTCCTGCATCTCGGGCACCTGGGCCAACAGCCTGGGAGGCTTGTTTGGATTCCAGGCTCGGACGCCACCTCCGCGAGGCCTTGTTTTTCTGTCTCCCCTCGCTGCAGTGTGATAAACGCAATGACATCACGTCTCCTCGGGGCCGGCCCCCCCAGGAAGCAGGTGCGTGGGCAGAGTGGTGGCCTTGGCATTGCTGGGCTGACCTGGGTTTGCCGCTCCCATAGCCCTCAGGCCTAACACCTGAGGCCGCTTTCATGGTTTTTCCAGTGACCTGCCCTCTCCTTCCCCCTCCGCAGCTGTTACCGGACCAGCCTGCAGGCCGTGCCAAGCCCTAAGGGGTTTGCAGAATTAAGTCACCGGTGTTGCCATGTGCTGGTCTGAGTGGAACAAGAGGACCTTTTTGGAGAGGGACCAGGACCAACCAGGGGCCCTTCCGTGGAGGCCTCCGGCTTAGCTGTGGAGCAAAGGAGGGAACGCTGGGATCGAATCACCGGCTGGTGGAGGTGCCCCCTCTTGCCTGGCCCAGGCTGGAGTCCCCCAATGAGCTGGGGCAGGAGCTCCCCGGCCTGCACCCTCCTCGGGGCAGAGACATGCTGGTCTCTCGTCGGAAGAGAAAGCTGTCGCCGGCCAGCTGGGTGCTGCCAACCTGTTTGGAGGCCCAGGTATGGGGCGTTTGGTTGCTGGTGGGGATTTCTGCCCAGAATGAAAAGGCGTGGGAAACCACGGCATCGTTCTAATTAACACGGGGGACATGCGCTGCAGGACCTGGTGGGGTCCCGGGGTGGGGGGCGGCTGCTTGCTCACAGCGGCCTCCGGCTTCCCTGGGCTCCCAGGTCTGCCTTCGGCTCCTCCGGCCCCCATGCTGTGAACCTGACCTTCTTGGAGGGCGAGGCACTGCCTCTGGGAATCCGAACAGGGAATCCCCGAGCTGTGTTTTGGGTTTTTTTTTTTGTTGTTTTTTAAACATCCGATAAAATGGGCAGCTCCCGAGGGCACTTCAATGCATTTTGACACTTGTCTCCACGCATATAATCACCGCCTCAATCAAGATAGAGAATTTCTGTTGCTCTGGAAAGTTTGGTCTGGCCCCTTTCCTGACAATACCCACCGTAGGCTACGCCGGCTCAGATAACCACTGTCCCGACTTCCGTCGACATAAACTAATTCTGCCAGTTGTAGAACGTCACGTGAACAGAATCATTCCGTCCTGTGCATCTGGCTTCCTTTACTTCTCATTTTCTGAGGTTCCCCCAGAGGACGCATCGATCGGCGGTGTGTTCCTTGTCATGGCATTGCACGGTTTTTACCGCAGTTTCTTTATCCGGTTGAGGTTTGCTGCTTCCAGCCCTCTGGGTGGCTGCCAGCTACTAGCGACTACAGACAAAGCTACAGGATTCTTGTGGACATGTGTCCGTTTATCTTGGGTAAACATCTAAGAGTAGAATTGCCAGGGCATAGGGTTAAGTATACACCGAGTGGCCAGATGATGATGACCACCCCATCAGTACGATGAAGTGAATTAGTTATGCAAATAATAATAATAAAACCTTGAGTATTTGCTTAGGAAGTTTTCAATATTCAGTATTTTTGGAAGTGTCAGTGAAGTACTGATGGGGTGGTCAGCATCACCCGGCCACTCAGTGTATGTCTTACCTCGAGAGAAACGTCCCCGCAGTTGTCACATGTCACGCGCCTGACTAGGTGAGAGGTCCCAGCTGCTCCACGTCCTCGCCGGCACTTGGTATTGTCAGCCTTTTGCACTGTAGCCCGTGGAGTGGTTGGGAAGTGGTGTCTCCTAGTGGTTTCCACGTGCATTTTCCCAGTGGCCACGTGGAACGCCATTCCCCATGCTCGTTGTCCATTCACACGTGTTCTTTCATGCAGCCTTCATTCCAATCCGGTGCCCATCTTAACACAGTGCGCGCTGGTAGTGTCATTGCTGGCTTTACCCAGTGGCCAGATAAGTTCCTGTTGAACGAGAGCAAAAAACGTTTTCCGAAGTCTCATACTTTAAAAAGATATTCGCTGGTAAGAACATGTAATAAATAACTTCAAAATGCAGTGGGTGTTTAATTTTAAGGCGTGCCTTCAGCATTTACATAAAACACTGTAATACGAAAACGGGGGAATGCTCCTGGTCCGACGCAGTGTGCTAAGTGGCTTATCTTTTTATCATTAATTGGTTGGCATGAGGAACTGTATTTAAAGGGCCAGAAGGTTGAGAACCTCTGCCCTCAGAAAACAATATCCTAGGTAGAAGTCTTGGTCAGACGTAGGGAATACTCCTATTTTCTCTCAGCCTCTAGCTCGCCTCTCCGTGATATTTTTTAAAAATATGTCTTTATTTTTTAGAGAGAAACATCCATCACCTGCCTCCTGCACACCCCCACCTGGGGACGGAGCCTGCAGTGGGGGCAGGTGCCCTGTCAGCCCTCAGAGTCACCCCTGCCAGCACCTTGACCTTGGACGCCAGCCTCCGGACTGTGAGACCTCATGCTCCTGCCACACGAGGAGCCCTGGCACCCTGCTGCCGGGGGCGTCGGCTCACCTGCTCCTTGGAGGGTCCTGGCCGGTGTCCCCGCTGGAGACGCAGCGAAGCGAAGGCCGGCACGCGGGGAGGCGGCTGATAAGGAGCATCGGGTGACCAGGCGCAGCCTGCAGGGCTCAGAGGGAAACCAGACTGCACTGCCCACCCCTCCGTTCCAGCGCTGAAGGCAGAGGCGTCCAGGTTCCTGGCCCTCAGGCCTGGGTGCTGCCTCAGTGGTACCCGGGCACCCTCTGCGCCCGCGGCTCCCCTCCGGCGGCTCCTGCTCTGTGTTTACCTCTGAGCTCGTTCCTCCCTCACCCATTAAACGTGGACTCCACAGTCTTCCTGACGAACATGCGAAGGGTCTTGGAGACATTGTGACCCCCTAACCCAGCGGTTCTCACCCTGTGGGTCGCCTAAGACCATCCTGCATCTCAGATATTTACGATTCCTAACAGTAGCAACATGACAGTGATGAAGTAGCAACGAAAATAATGTTATGGTTGGGTCACAACATGAGGAACTGTATTTAAAGGGCCAGGAGGTTGAGAACCGCTGCCCTAAGAGAACAAGTGTTCTGACAAGCAGGGCGGGGAGGGTGGACAGTGGTGTCTCTGGTCACGGGGTCCCCACTGGGGTCCCCAGCAAGGCGACCCCAATGGGAGCCCAGGCTCTCAGGGGAGTTTTTCCCCGTCTACTGATGGGGATGAAAAGCAGGTCCCCGGCATCTCCTAAAGAAATGGGGAGTTTCCTCTGGGGTACATACGCTATAGGACCCCACCCCTCTCTAGATGACCCCCATCCCTCCCTAGAGGCCCCCCCAGAGGGGAGCTGGCTGGTCCTCTGGCTCACCCTCCTGTGGCCTTTCTCCCAGTCGCCCCCAGGTGGCGCTGCAGGACCACAGCCCCGGGCTGGGCCGTCCTCAGCCCCAGGCTCCCCCCTTGCCCTGAGCCGCCTTCCTGGCTCTCCACTACCTTCTGGAGCTCCCAAATCATCCATCAGGCGTCCAGGGGTCCCTCCCACCGGACGTGGGGATCGGCAGGGGGCCGAGAGCCTGGCTGTGGAATCCACAGGGCCAGCCGATCAGTCAGCCCTCCTCCTGCCCCAGTGCCCAGGGGACCACCCTCCCTGCACCCCTCCTGCCCCCAGACACCCTACAGCACCACAGCCACATGCAGACACGGGCCTCGTTGGGGGGCGGCGGGGACACCTCTGCGCCTCATGCGCAGAAACGAAGTAAACACAAGACAATCTTCAGAGACGGAGCCGGCCAGCCACACCGCGGGGGCTCCGTGCCCCGCACCAGATCGCTCCTTAGAGGCAACTGTCCCCCAATCGCAATAAAGTAGAAACGCCCAGAGCCGCCTGGACCCCATGGCTGCACAGTGCTGGGGGTCAGGGCGGGCAGGCGTCGGGGTCAGGCCAGGGGTTGGCTGGGGTGGGTGGAGCCCCCGCCTCCCCAAGGCCTCAGAGATATGCCCCTCTCCCTGGGCCTCTCAGCGCTTTACCGCAGCAGTGGCGTCCTGGGGGCCTCGGGAGGGGGCGTCCGGGGGGTGCAGGGCTGTGTGTGTCCCGTCTAGGAGCAGCCACAGCCATGGCCTCACCTCTCCCAGGAGTCTCAGGTCTCCCCACCCCGCCCCCGCATGAAGGGCAGAGTGAGTGGCCCAGGGGTGTTCATGGGGCAAAGTTGAATCTGCCTGGACCCCTTCCCCAAAGCCCCAGAATCGGGGTCCCCTGAACAAGAGCCAGACCCTGCCTGCCTTTTGGGGATACCAGGTGGCCACTTGGGGCTGGGTTCGCTGTCCAGGGGCACCTCGGGCCAGGACGTGTTGGTCCCCCTCGCCTGCCCCCCGTGTGCCGGCCTGTGTGGAGCTTAACCGTGTGTCTGTGTGGCCCCTGACCCCACGCCGCCGCCCTCAGGACAAGGACGCGTTCGTTTGCTCTCTTGGAACCTCCTGGGGATGCTCTTCCACTCGACGGTGGCTCCGTAAGGGAGCAGTTAAGTGACATAAACTGAACTAGGGTGTCGGGGTGTCGGGGTGATGGGGAAGGGCCCTGACCTTCCCTGAAAGCCAGGATGTGGGCTCCAGGCCAGAGGCCTCCTCCACACCCGGTCCCTCTGCCCACACTGTGCCCAGCGGGGGCTGCACGAGGCACGAGTGCCCACAGAAGCCACAGGGGGCACCAGGACACCGGTCTCCAGCCGCCCTCTGGTGCTGCCCGCGGAGGCCCAGTGCCCCTGCCCGCGGGGGGAGGAACAGACTGGAACGGAGCCGTCTCGGGGCCGCCGTGGCGTCCGGGCCTTGGCCCACTGCGGTTTCCTTTCTCTCCCGGTGGCTACTATCGGTCCTTCCCACTCATCCCCGGACCCCAACGAACCTTTGGAAACCCCGGGGGCCGGGGGGGAGAGGGGCTCCCCGAGCCAACTGCTTCTGACCGCCCGTCTCCAAGCAGGAAGGCTGCTCTTTCCTGTTTAGACAGCGTGTCTGGCAAGAGGAAGTCGAGAGCAAAGCAACAATGATGATGACAGAAACCCATGATAGCGAACGTCGCTCGTATCCAAGATGGCTTTTGTGGGAGGCCTGCTGGGCCCAGGACACAGTGTGACCATGGGCTGCTGTGGTCGGACGATGGGCTGTGGTGGGGGGCGGGGGTGGGACCGCTTAGGGGCGCCCCTGGATTCACAAAGGGCCCTCCAGGATGAGGGAGAATGGAGAGCTTTGCCGTCAGGCCAGGTTCCAATCCCACCCCAGCTCATGCCAACTGCTGGACTCAACTAGCCACTCAGCTCCCCTCCTTGCAGCTTCCTGGGCTCAGACAAGACAGTAGCTGCCCCTGATGTGTGATGTGCACACACGGCCCGCACCTGGGACGTCTGGGGACCGCCGTGAAGAACACCCAGGCTGAGGGTGCGAGCTCTCGCTCACCTTGCCAGGAGAACGGCGGGTCTGAAAGGGGCCCGGGCTTGGTTCCGGCGGGAGGAGAGACCCCATCAGGGCAGCGGGTCCCAGGCCTGACTCAGTTGTCCTTGGGAGCTGATGGGCTGCTCTGGGCAAGCCCCTCATGCCCTCAGTCCCTGCCAACGGGGTAACCTCTGCCCAGTGCACTGCCTGTCCTCCCCCTCTGTCCATCCCCCCACTCCCACCCCAGTGCTCAGTGCAGCTCGCTCACACGCGCTAGGCGGCCTGCTAGGCAACACATCTGGACATACAGAGGGAACCAGGAAAGGATCATGGGAATGGTTCCCGGACCCCATGGGAGGAACAATCTCCCGGCTCTTAGCTCCTGAGAGTGTGCCTCTCCACAGAGTTCAAGTCCATAGGGTGCTGGCGGGAAAGCTGCTCCAACACCAGAAGGCTCCTCCTGCCTGTGAGGATCGCATGCTGGGGGTGGGGGGGTAGTTTGATGCTTCATCTAGACCAGCGGTTCTCAACCTGTGGGTCGCGACCCCTTTGGCGGTCGAACGACCCTTTCACAGGGGTCGCCTAAGACCATCCTGCAGATCAGATATTTACATGACGATTCATCA